TGGAAGTGTCGGAGGACAGGGATGTGAGCTGCAGCTGTTGCTGAGCTCAGTCTCGTTTTCTGGGATGACAGGAAGGTTTCCTAGGTGGGAGTAAAGATGTGCAGAGGAGCTGTGTTCTCTAAGGTAGGATGGATGCTAAGTCTGGTGTGGTAGGGAGTGTCGTGCCCATCCTTACGCCCTGGTGACCCAGGTACCAGCCTGGGTGAGCTGCCTGCCCTGGGTGCTGCCCTGAGCCCTGCTGCTCCTGCCCCACACTCGTGGGTCAGTACTGTGCTGTCAGCACTCCAGGGTGGCTGGTTTGTCTGCAGCTGTGCACTGGAGCCAGCCAGAGGTTCCACTGGGACGAGCATCCCCCGGTGGGAGATGCAGGTGGAGATAGGAAGGTGTGGGCAGGACAGGCTGCTCTGCCAGCACAGCCTCTGAGCAGTCTGGGTCCTGCTGGAAGTGATGCCTCACCAGCTTTGATTCAGCTCTGCAAGGTGTAAATAAAGCATCCAAAGAAAGCCAAACTCAGAGAGGGTTTCTGTGGTGACCTGGTAGTTTTCCTCAAGCAGGTTCTGTTAGTAGCAATCTGCTGTGGCTGTGCTGGGTGAGAGTCCTGCTCTGAGTGTGTGTGTGATCACTGTGCATTAAATTCATCAGCATGGAAACCACAGGCTGCTCAAGAAGATGAACTGCTCGTGGCTGTCTCTAATCACAGCCTTGTCATCTCAGAGTGTTTCCTGGTAACTCTGAGTGCATGGAGAAGGAGCCTGTGTGTCCCACAGTGGCTGAGTGTTAACTCACCTTTCCCTTTCCTCCCCGGGGGGAATCTCTTTGCTGTGTGTATGTTGCTGCTTTCTCTCTCTTCATCTTCAGGACCATGTGCTGTTTTGTCTGCAGAGAATCAGCCATGTCACACACATCAAGAGTTCCCTGTGCCCAGCAGTGTTGAGTGTGTTTGATTGGGGTTCAGGTAGTGGAAGCTTTGTTGTCTGGGGACTGGTGGGACGATGTGATGGGAATAAATCACTTCCCTTGCATCCTTTTCCTTTGGACCAATGGGACAGGATTTTCCACAGGCTTCACACAGCTCTGTGTGTTCAGGGACTTGCACTTCCTCTTTTGCATGGTGAGCAGTGCCTAATTCTGAGGCTGAGCTGCTGAACTTGTATCTGCCTGTAATGGAGGTGATGGGCCTGGAGAAATGCCTGTTCTGCCTTCCTTTGCCCCTCCCCTTCACAGAGCCAAATACTTCCTTTTTCTCTCAAGAACTGAAGTAACAAGAGAAGGGAAGCCAAGCAGCTACACAGCTTCATGAGTATTGCTTGAAGAGGAAATTTGTTTCACCTAACCAGAGAACTTCCTGTGTTGGTTGTCTGTGCTTCTAAAGATCTAGAAATTACGTGTAAGGCTTTGAGCTTGTTGCAGCATTTCCTTGTCTCTGTGACTTAGAAAAGTTGTTTGTAGGGAGATGTTTATTTCTGACTGTTGCATCTTCAGCTCAGAGCTGTCCAAATGTGTTTTCTGTCCTAAAAGTCAGATTCAGCAAGTTTGCAAACACTTTAATAAGCACTTGTAGAACCTTCTGTGGTCTGGGTCTTGCAGAATCAAAACAGACTTGCTGTTCAGCCGAAGGTGGTTATTTGGATGAAGTTCAAAGCAGTTTTGTGAGGATTTAAAAATCTAGTGAAGTTAGGGCTTGGAAAAGTGCTCCTAGGTAGTCTTCTAAGAGCCTGATACCTTTTTCTTTCCAAGGAGGATTACCTGTGTGTGATGGCAGAGCAGGTTTTGATTAGGATTACAGCAGTGGTTTTTTTGAGGGGAGCAGGGAGAAAACCTACAGAGCATTTGGATTTTTCTGACAAGAAAAACTCCTTGGTTGAAGTAGCTGTAGAGCAATTTATATTTGCTTAGTTACAATGCTCTTGCCCTTGTCCAGACTGGTTTCTGTGCCTCCCTCCCTGCTGTACATGTACTCCAGATGACTACACTAGCAGTTGGCTGCCAGTGATCCTTTTAAAGCTGACTCCACTCACAGCTCTTCTCCAGCAGAGGCAGATGAGGTGCTTCAGAAAAACACAAGCTGTGCATGGCCTTTGCCTTTATCCTGACTCCTTCTTTCCTGCTACCTGAATTTAGATCAGAGAGAGTGCAACACTGACCAGAGATGTGCTGGAGCAGCATTTTACTGATTTGAAAGGGACCCTGCAGAAGCTGTTGGATGAGAGGCTGATGTCACTGCTGCAGGAGGTGGATGTGATAGAACAAGAGAGCATCAAGCCCCTGGATGAGTGCCAGAAGCTGATAGAGCATGGAGTCAGCACAGCTGATGATGTGCTCCGGGAAGGTAAGGCAGCACCTCGTGCCGAGTCTCAGCTCTGCCTTCCACTGTTGTCTGTCAGAAGTCCAGAATATTCCTGTTGTGATCAGTGTGTTTGGCTCATTTTGGATTTCTCTCAAACCAAATGTTAAGAAAAGGTTAAAGCTGGGTAGATGTAGTGAAGAGCTGATCAATGTTATCTCCTACAAATCTGTATTTTAACCTTTCACTCCAGTCTTAGAGTGCACATATGTCTGTGCAGCTTGATGTACCTGCCCTGGAAATGGCTCATTGCAGGGATGTTCTGCACCTCTCCAGGCTGGACACAGGAATATGTTAGGCTGCTATGAAATAAAATACATCTTGGGTACCATTATAGCCAGGTGTCTCTATTGGTGAAGTGAGTTATTCCTGTCTTACTGAAATAGCAGCTGAAACAAAGAGATTATCCTGCTAAGTGTGATTATGTTCACTGTTGATGGGGAAAATGTGGAATGAAACAGCCACTCCATAGGGAAAATTCCTCCCAAAAGTCTGAGGATGAGGCAGGCGAAAACCACCACGTGGAACACTAGTGCAAGGGCCAGACTGTGCCCTGATGATGCTAAATACCTAGCCAGAAAGGAATGTCAGTCCTGACTGTTTTCCCCACACTGGGGAACCTACTGGGAGCGTGTCTGAGCCATGAGTGTGTTGGCAGTTTCCTTGCATTGTTCTCGTGTCTCAACTTTAACTTTCTTTCAACATGAGCTCAGTTCTGGGAGCTGAAGCACATTGAGCTGTGTCCCAGGGGTGGGAAAGCTCCCAGCCCTGAGCTCTGTGCAGAGATTGCCTGTTTTGTGTGAGTTTCTGTGGGATCTGACTGTGCCCTTGCCATGCCCTGGTCACTGCTGCTGTGCAGCAGGAGGATGGCTGAGCCCTGCAGCAGAAGGAGCAGACCTTGCAGCTGAGTCAGAAAGGAGTTAAGCTGCTGTGGCTGTTCAATCTGCTGCCAGTTGTGACGTGTGCTTTCCTTAGAGCTCTGCAACGTGGTTAATCCTCCCCTGGAAAAGGGCTGAGCTTGCTGAAGTTGTAAATTGCCCAAAGTCATCAGAGAGGAGCCTGGAGCCTAGGTCTCTGGAAACTCCAGTGTGGGATGCTGCTTTATATGGGAAGCTTGGAAAAATGTTCCTGGTTATCTCCATGCTTTAATGCATGGATTGTTTCCTTCTCTATGACAATAGTTACCATTCTGATTGTAGCACACAGAACAATGGTTGAAATTATTTCTCACTTTCAGCTCCTGCTTTTTTCATTTGCTGATCAGTGAAGGTGCTTTGCTGTTTCTTCCTTTAGAGCAGGTGGAGGAAGGGGTTAATAATCCTGATTTTTGGTACCTGACCCCAGTTCTGCCACCATCTGAGACCTGAGGCAGGTGATTACATCTCTTATGGGTGTGTCTGCAGGAAGCTTTGAGACCTTCAGAAGTTGCTAGATAGGCAACTATTGTTAACTGTAATTGTCCTTTCTAGCTAAGACTAGCAAAGTGCTGGGAATGCCTCAGGTTTAATTGGTTGTTCGTGTCAGAACTGGTTATTCCTTGAAGCAAGGACTGCCTTGTGTGGATGTTCCCTCAGGAATGTTTCTGCTGTTTGCTTGCAGGAGAGAGTGCAGTCGATGGAGATGTGGGACAACAGAATGAGAAACTCTGCAACTTCACAAAGAAAGCTTTGCATATTCAGCTAGACAGGTAAGACACTGACACTCAGGTGATCTGAGGCAGCAGCACATGTGCTGTTCTTGTGGAGGGAATCTCTTCTCCTGTGAAACAAAACCTTTTCTGTTCCATTGCCTTAAAATACTGGTTTGAGGTGTTGCTGTCCTGTCTGTTTCAGACTTTCCGGGGTCTGGCAGGCACAGAATGGAGTGCTTTCCACCTCCATATGTGCAGCACAAATAGAGGCTGTTTATTTGTGAGAGTGGAGCCACTCCTTGTGGAACAGCCTGTGTTTCAGAGTGTTTACCGGGAAACAGTCTGGTTAGGGCTGAAACACAATGTTTTCTGAGTCTTTCAAGTTTGGAATGCACATGCCAATTTCTGCAGCTGTTCTCTCTTTGCAAATCTGCACAGATTGGAGTGGATGGATGAAATATGACTGTGCAGGAGCTGTCCCCTCTCATTACAGCACACTTTCCTTTCTCAGCTTACCAGAAGTGCCCTCCTTGGTTGATGTGCCTTGTTTATCTGCCCAGCTGGACGACTGCCTCCTTACTATACTGAAAAATCAAATATTCAGGCATGGAACTGTGGCATCTCGCCCACCTGTACAGCTGGAGGAGTTTGTGGAAAAGCCTGGAGGGATTTTAGTCCGATGGTGTAAGGTAGGTAAAATATCCTCTGTGAAAAGCCTTTAGACTGGAGTTCTGTTGAAAGAAACTGAAAAATCCACTTTCTTTCTGAATTCTCTACTGCCTTCAAGGGACTAATTCACTGCAGTGTGCAGTTACAGACCTTAGAGGAGCTGGTGATGGTCATGGTGTCATTTAAAGGCAGTGCACTGTGGTGATGGTGTGGTTGGCACTAGGGTCTGTGTCTGCCTGGCAGTGACACTCGTGTGCTAGACTCTTGCTGCTGCACTTTACCTGCAGGAAGAAAGGACCAACTTGCACCTCTGCCCCAGTCTCCTCCCTGTCTGTGGGAGAGTCAGGAGGGGCAGCTGGAAACTTTGCTCCCTGTGCTTCCAGCAAGGGCCAGGTACTGACCAACAGCAGACAACTCCTTCAGATACTCCTCCCACTAAACAAACGAACCTTAGATTGTGATCTGTGTGATGCTGTGGTACAAGCAAGCCCAAGGAGTGCTGAGGTGTGTGTTTCTGAGAGGTGTTTGGCACCGTTTGTGCTGCCACGTGTGGTTGGTTTGTGTGGCAGTAACAGCCAAACACTCCTGGTGGGACTGAACTGTATTGCTAAAGTGATGCTTTTGTTCTCTTTGAAGATGCTTTAGCAGACCCAGGATGAGGCTGAACCTGTTCAGTTGGGCTCTTTACCCCAAATTTGTTTGTGTTCTTTAGGAGAGGCAGTGGGTACAAAGAGAGAACATTGTGATATTGGTGTTAGCCAGTCAAGCAGCTTTTCTCTTCAACACAGACAAGCTATTTTTGAGTAAACCACTGCTGTGGTCTGATGTGGTTTAGTTGTTGTTGCACAGCTCTGTGCTCCTTGGCAGCATTAAACAAACTGTTGTTCTAGGGACAGCCACTCACTGGTTGTTCACCCTTCATGTGTGGAGGATGTGGACTCAGCTTGTAGAACCATAGGCCTGTGGGGGCTGATTCTGTGTGCTCTAGAGGAGTTCCCTCACTTTGGTCATGCTTGGGGGATAGTTGAGCTTTTGTGGGAAGGGCAAATCTTTTTGATGTAGAGATATCAAAGAACTGGAAATCATTCCCTGGAACAGGACAATAATGAGTTTCCCTTGCTGTTAAAAACTAGCACTGAATTTTTTCTGCAAAGATGTTTTCAGGTTTTGGCTGAAGGATCTTGTTGTATCTCTACTAGAATGAAAAGCTTTCTGTTAAGTGTGTCTTCTGTAGATATTTTAAAGCTGTAATCAAATAATCCTGATACTTCTTTAATCAAATAATTCTGATACTTCTTTTTGTGTCAGTCGGTCCAGACGCTGATGTTACTTTCTGTGAGGAGCATTTTCTGCCTTGGGACCCTGAGTTTCCTCTGCTGCCAGCCTGCAGTGCTGCCCCCTCAGAGGCCAGATGAGAACCAGCCTTGCTGTGCTAATTGCTGTGCTAATTGCAGTGCCTGTTCCTGCAGGTGGATGAGGAGTTCGTTGCCCAGGACTACAGGCTGCAGTACCGTAAGGGCACTGCCAGCCCCTTCGAGGACGTGTATGTGGGCTCAGAGACAGAGTTCATGGTGCTGCACATCGACCCCCACGTGGAGTACCAGTTCAGGGTGTGTGCCCGCGGGGACGGGCGGCAGGAGTGGAGCCCGTGGAGTGTCCCTCAGAGCGGCCACACCACGCTGGTCCCGCACGGTACTGCACAGCTCCTGCTGCTGCTCCTGCTGCT